TGAAAATTATTAGCAATGAAGATCCGGGCTTACGGATCGAAAGCTTTGCAGTAATAAATTTACGTGGTGTTTCCACAAACAAAACTATTATATATCTGTAAATTGTTAGCACAAAACTACTAGGTGCACTTTGCCAGTACATTGCTGGTTAGTGCTGGGTTTGGTGTGCTTGGCTACTTGCACTGCACCCCCTCCCCCTAAAAACTGAGTAGTCTTGTAATCATGATTTTTTCTGTGTTGATGTATGATGTTTGTGATGTTACTCTGAGTGTATATCCACACCGGGCAAGCTTGAAAAAAACTGGTATTCCAAAGGTTGTAGGTTCGATTCCCACCATGGCCAAGCATATTTTTCAAGCTTGCCCGGTGTGGATATACACTCAGAGTAACATCACAAACATCATAGTCTTGTAATTATGAAAATTTGTGCAAAATCCCTCAAATTGTCAAAACGTCAAGTAATTTCTCACGAATCTGCACATTCTCACGAATCAAGAACCAAGCAGATTTCTGATCTTCCTATTTGACAAAAACTCTAGTTTGCCCACAGTTAATCTTAGTCTATTAACTGTGGTTTGCCATAACTATTCTGGAAAAATATCCAACATTTCCGGTCATTTTTCCCAAAGAAAAAATATTTCCAGTGCTCGTTCATGTGAATGATTTGACAAGAAAAAACACGGAAATATGCTTCATAAGCAATATAACAGACCAATTTTGTCACTGTACAGAATCCGTCAACAAAGCTGCATAAGTTTCAGCTGAATTTTTGTCTTTTAACCTCAGTTGAAAATTAAACACAAGCTGAAATTTAATACATCTACATATATGTTTGCTCTGTTTTGAAACTTTTGCATTCCGAGATTTTCTGCAATAGACGGGTCATATGATCCGAGATATGATCCCGTAATCCCGTTTGTAAAACCAAAACTGTTGAATTAAAGCATTGATTTAAAGCACTCTTGGCCAATTCTTATCTGTTGTTATCTTAAATGGCAATAACTTGCTCATAAATTTTGAGTAATTTTAGAAACAGGACTGTGTTTAAAGCTCAGCTTACAGACTACAAATACGTGGTATACCACATACAGTAGAAGAGTAAACAGTCTCGGCGCGGTTTATTCGCCAAAATACACTGTCTGGTTTTTAAACAAGAAAGCACCTGAAGACCTTTTACTCACCATAATTCCCATTGTCTTTCTGGTCGCTTTCTCCCATATTAATGTCATTTGTGGTCTCGGTTTTGTTCCCACAACAACCCATTGGTGTCGAGCAAGAACGTGCCGAAATGCCCTTGGCTTTTCGTGCACAATTCGTTTGTTTCTAATACAATTCGTTTAATATGCCGTATATTGAACCAGGATTTTCCTAGTAAGGTCAGCAAACGCTTCAAAACTTCCTCGTACGAGGTAAACAACAGTATTTCTCGCCAAAATATTAGGCACTGCAAGACATCTGCAATTTAATACAGCAATTATTTACGTCAAGTTGCTATGATCACTCTAGCTTGCCGGTCGTATTTCATGCATTCTGATTGGTCAACTGCATGTTATACGACTTTGTGATTGGTCAATTGAGTATTTGAGTGATCGACCTCCAGGCATGTTTGTAGCAACATGGAAAATCATGGCGACGAATGACTCCACAAACATTTTCAATCTTTTTTGGACCATTGCTAGCCAGTGGAGAAAATAAGTGTTTTGGGCTTTGTAATAATTTTCTTTGTGGTGTTTGCTAAGTCTGTATATCTGTGTATTGTGTGCCCGACACGCAGATAAATAAGAATATGTCGAGAATTTTTGGACTTCCCTAGTCAAAGAGTAGGAAGGCGGAAGCGGGGGCGAGCCAATGGGGCGAGCTAGTCAGTGTGCAAATAAAATATAGCAGATCTGCCATCCCACAATAGAAACACGTCATTTTTTATGCTTCCTTACGGTCTCACGACAAATTAAAATCATTAAACATTTAAATCTCACAATTTTGGACGACTTTGTAAAATACAAACCACGATTTCCACCACTTCGGGTTGGCAGGTCCGGATACTGTAAAACTGATCATGGAAAAGCAATTGTGTTGGCTATTAATGGATTATGCCTGCAATAACACATGCTGCGTTAATTTGCGTCAGCATGGAAACATTATAATTACAATGTAAGTTACATAACTCAGCAATATCTATGTTCTTGTTTAGGTTTATTCAGAAATATGGTCCTTCATCGCACCAACCAAATGACTTGAACAATTTCCATTTCGTTAACTTAAAAACTGCTGTTATAATAAGATTGGTGGATTTGGTGAATTTGGCAAAAATACAATACGCATACACTTGATGATGAAGCAAAATATTTTTTGCGTCAACGTTGACTAACATAGATAATAACTTCTGTTATTTTCTAATAAGTTTCTAAACCATTTCTTCCAGTAAGACTGGTTTACACTTCTGACACTACACGTTTGACACTTCTCACTAATTCTTCAAAACTTAAAATTTACCTATGCAAAATTCCTACTGTGATCACAGAAACTTTGATAGTGTAAATTGTAAGGCAGCCTTTACTGTAGTTGTAATGCCAGTGACCGGCGCCAGGTTTCATATGACATATTTGATCGAAGGAACAAAGATTTTTATACGGTTGCCGGTTGAAGGCTAAACATAGACTTCCTCCAAAACTGGCTCTCAAAGAGCTTTGTGTACTTGAGAGTTATTTGCCGGTTGAAGGTTAAACGTAGACTTCCTTCGAAACTGGCGCTCAAAGGGCTTTGTATTTGGGAGTTATGAGGGTGAGATAAAAAGCGGACGGGTGCCATTTATAACTCCAAAATAAAAGGCCTTTGTGAGTCAGATTTGCAGCAAGTCAAGGACAGATCTTCATGGAAGCAGATTATTCCAGCTTGCTACACTGCGAGCAGAGGTTTCTGGGAATTCTAGCTACAGCCGGGTTGGTAAGTTTTTCAAGAAATTGCTATCATTGTCAAAAGAATTTCTTCACAAAATATATATTATTATATTCACTTTTCGATGTTTTAAATCACGACTACCTCATAAAATAAAATAAAGACTGTGGCATTGGCACTTTTGTTACAAGTCTTTTGCAAGCGCGCAGATATCTTGCAAGGATGTATGTTTTACAAGATGTATAAATTCTACTTGTGCACTCGTGCTTTTCCGAAAAAAATATCACACAACAAAATGATTTGTAGAAGAGTAAAGTTTTATTCCAAATTCTGTGGTGTGCCACAAGGACACACAAAATATACTGTCAATAAATAGCTCTCAAATTATTCCGATGAACAAGCATCCATTGCCCATCAAAACTATCATAAATTTACATTAATTTATACTGTAGATTCCTGTATTCATTTATGTACTGTTCAATATAATAAAATCACTTCTTCGTTCGGGGATATTGTCTACCTCGACTGGCCGAGGACGATGGTGTTGTCGCATACTTCGACGGATCAAAGAATGGTACGGCTGCTGGTGCTGGCTGAGAGACCTCAAGCTCAGACCCCTGAAAACGAAAGAATGTACATATAGAATACACAGTACTCCATATATATCTGAGTCCAAAGAATGAAGCCAATTAGCCTTTCTCACGAAGTAAAAAAGTGTCCCATTTTTGGAGTACTTTTTAAATTAAAAACGACGTGAAAAATCTAAGCGATGTGAAAACATTTTTTCAAATATTTAACTGTAAATTAACTTGTAATGATTATACTCACAATTATAGTTATACAGATCCTCATTCACTGCGTACAATCTCAGATTTGGAAAAGGCAATACCCCAAAAATGGCGGCGTGAGAAAAGCTAGTTTTTCTGGCTGGCCGGTTAACGTATTTTGACATTGATTTAAAGAATAACACTGCGGTTTTATGAACTGATACCTTGGTTAGCGATACGGTCCGTTAGAAACAAATGGAATTAGCTGGGGGAAAATGGTATTAAAACTGTTTACGATCATCTTGTCATTGGTCATCACTTTTCTCATAGGCCGAATGACTGAGGTTCTTGCTCCAGATATATAAAGGTCAGTGGTACCGATTAGCCTGCTCGCAGCCTGAATTTATCGGGCCCGAATCCGAGTGCAACAAAAATAACATTTCTTACCTGTGCGTTTGCAGATTCCTCCTCTGCGGTGTTGTTGTCAAGCACATTGTTCTGGCTAAAAACATAACAAAGCAAGATTATTAGTATGATTTCAATTAATTCAGTCCTTGGACTGGATCAAAATGAATTCATTTCAAATCATGAGATGTCATTTCAAATCATCCAAATCGAACTGGACTAGATTTCATGCAAGTTCTCGCATTTTGATCCAGTCCTCGGCCTCGCCAAATTGCGCGAACTTGAAATCTAGTCTAGTCCTCATAGTCGGATTTGGAATATTACATAAAGGAGCTAGTACCTACCTTATTGTAGGTCCTGGTGGGCCATCCATACTCGGCTGACTATCTGGAACAAAGTCTAAGAAAAGATAAAGTAATAAGTTAGTTTTGAGTCAAAAACAGTCGGGGAAGTATGCGAAGAAAATAGGGGGATTGCTAGCAGTCTAACAAAGAATATAACTGTCATGAACAGATAAACGATTCTTACTAATTAATCTTCAACTCACAAAAGACTTCTACTCTACTTCTAAAGCACTTACTGTTTGCCACTGTTGTCTGGTTTCCAGCGCTGGTTGGGAATGGTGAAAACAGCATAGGTGAAGCAGTTTGATTCAGCTTCGTGGTAGATCCCGATGCACTCAAGACATCGACGTAGTTCGACCTGCGTCCTGTAATGAAAGTAAAATTGAAGATTCAGTTTATGAACAAATCGTATTGAGAAGATCTAGAACTCAGTCTAACTCTAACCTAAACTAAGACTAAACCTAATCCATACCCTAACATTAATCCTAGTACTATATGCTAATCTAAATCCTGAACCCTATAATATTAATCCTATATTATTCTTAATTATGAACCAAGCAGATTTCTGGTCTTCCTACTTGACAAAAATGACTACTTGACAAATAATATCTGTCCCCTAATCTACAAACTTATCCTAATCCCTATTACTGAAGTGGAAAACCCGTGGCCTTGGAATTCTGGCGCAGTACTAGAACCAACTGAGCTACAGAGGCCTCTGGCTCAATTCCTGACAGAGGGCCTATAGAACTACAGAGTCCAGTTATCGAGCTCCAAGCACAGGTTCATGTATATATATTAAGGTGACACCATGAACGGATGTTGAAGGTTTAGATCCGACAGTTACCTTTGCAGCCGTGAGCTCGCCGTGAGAAGCGGCTGGGTGTCGTTAAAGGAGAGTTGATCAACGATACTTCCGGTTGTTCCGGAGTAAAATTGCCAGGCAAAACAGGCGGGGCATGGGCTACTGGGGGCTGCAGTGTGCTCGACGACGGGGGCGAGCTCGTAGGTGCGTTGAACGGACTACCACTTGATGTTCCTATAAAGATAACAGAAACATGTGAGCTAAAATGACTTGTTATAAAATAGAAAGCTCTATAGATCGACTCGAAAAATGGTGGTCATTCTTTTTTCTTCTGAAAATAATTTCGACCAAGGTATTCACCGTCGCCTTATAGAATACTTCAAGACTGTCAGTTTTACAAAATGTAAATATAATACCATGTATATTCTCTTTGAGAGAAACTAAATCTTAAAAATACCGGAGGTTATGCTAGATTTATCACAGTGAAGGGCCTGACTACCCTCATTTTGGGGCTTTTCTGCAAATTTCAAAAGGCTGCACAAGTTCGCTTGCATGAATTGTTTTTAATCTTACTCTCAACATTTTGCTTTAAATATGAAGTCTCTTGTAAAAAATGGTTTAGTGTTTGCCTGGTAAGTCATAAAACGAGACCATAAAATAAAATCTTCCCCAGTCTTGTTTTAAAATATATTGAGGAATCTATTTACTCTCTATACTGCTTACCAGGTGCTGAAGTAGGTCCTTCCCCACTGCCCGGTGGCATAGCAGGCATCGCAGGCGCAGTGCCGCTGATCAAAGATGGATCAATTGGAGGCGGCGGTAAGTCAGCTTTATCCTGTTTGAAGAAGAAACAAAAATTACACTCGTACTTTCTTATAACATATACAGACGAGCAAGTTTTCCTCGAAAATTTTCCTTGGCGAGTTTACTTTCTCGTGAGTACGGTCAATAACACTGGGGAAAAATGTGAAATCCATACTATGAGATTTGCAATTGTATTACTAAATCCATAGTATATCCATACTATTTCGATACTATATTCATAGTATAGAAATATACAATTATTATTGATAATCAAAATCCATTCTATTTCCAATCAAGGTCCATACAATTTCCATTCTATAACCTTCTTTGGATTTTAAATTTTTTTTCCAGTGTAAGTTTTCCTTGAGAAGTTTTGCTGCTTTGAGCTCAAATTTTCCTTTTCCATTAGCTGGCATGACTAGTTTTGGAAAAAGACTCCTCCTTGGCAAGAAACAATTGTCGAGATTTTGCCGTACACTCGAGCAGATAAAACTCGTCGAGGAAAACATGCCAAGGCGAAATCGTGCTACTTTTTGGCGTACCTCTTCGTCTCCATCAGTGTTTACCCATTTGCCTTCTTTATCGTCCCAATAAATCTACAAAACAAAAATATTCCATATTTGAAAAAAAATGCCATTCACATACCCTGCATGAAACAACGTATATAGCTAATCCAAATTTCAGTTCAACGCATCGAGTAGCCTGCGTGGCAGGCGGGGTTTTTGCGGGCAGCGAAATTTAGGGAGGCGAAGGAAAAACCTCGTCTCCCTAATTTTTGCTGCCCGCAAATAACCGCCTGCCACGCAGGCAAAACTTCGAGCAAATCATCATTGTAGCAAGAAAATGAGTGCTTCGCTCGAAGCCCCGGGCATTGCAGTGCGTTGAACTGAAACTTGAAAAGACATGTTAGTTGGCAAAACTTACAGTCTTTTTCTTATCATCGGGAAGTATCATCTCATTCTTGCCCTTTGGAATAAGAGACTTGAAGAACCCACCTAAAGACCATCCCTAAAAATATATAATCGTAGTCAATTACAGTTGGCTATCCTGTACAACATACTATGAAAATTATAAAAATATTACAACTGAATGTCCGACCAATTTAGCATTTGAACGGAAAAACTGTAACTTGGTCGAAAATGCTCTGCTGTTACATACTGGGTTCCTACAGCTTCGTCCGTTTGAATTTTCCAAAACTTTCCCAAAGTCCTTACATTAAAATTTCCGAAACAAATTTCTTAAAAAGTAATACTTATTACTAACAAAACCCTTCTTCTATGGCTTTTATTTGTGTACAAAATTCCATGACTTTCCATAGCCCTATAAACAGCAACAAAAATAGATTTTCCGAAACTTTCCAAACCCTGGAAAACACCTCAATCAATTTCCAAAACTTTCCAAAACCCTTGCGAACCCTGTACATGTCTGATCTTGATAAGCCTTTCTGGAAAATTAAAACGTCTGTCGAAAAATGAAGTATGTTTTATATGATCACGAGACATGCTGCATATACTTACACTGGCCTCTTTTCCTTTCTTGCTATCCTCTTTTTTCCCGTTCTTTTCAGGTTCTTTCCCCTCTGCCTGAGATTTCTCTTCCTTCTTTGCACTTTGGCCAGGATTGTTGTCGTCCTGTAGAAAATATCATAGAATCATTTATTCAATAAATAGTACTTCAGAATCGAGTAAGTATAGCGACCTTTGAGCATATTACAGGATAGCAACGCTATCACGGCGGGTCATGACTGCATGGAAAACCCGTCGTCAATTTTTTTTTATATAAACATATTTTAATAGTTTTTTTTTTGCATTTGCCCAAGAGCACAAAGGCTCATCTATGGGGCTCACACAACATTTACATGATTTTTGTTACACACTCTATACAATATTAACTAACAGATATAACACACAACAAAAAAGAAATAGAATCCGTCGTCAATTATCCATCGTAGGAAATCATACAGTTTAAGAATCAAGGTTAAGACAAGGATTTTTATGGTTGAGAAGAATTGTGGAATCCAATTTTAAATAACCGTTGTCCCAACTTGGAAATACGGCCGTTTGCTAGTAGCGTTAGAGGTCCCACTATAAAGGTCATCCTTTATTGATCCAGTGTCACTACAGGTGAAAACTTAAACTAAATCTACTCAAACTTACCCTGAAGTTAGACTGTGCGTAATAGTCAAAGCTACTGTCTGAAATCGAAATTCCACTCGTTTCAATACCGGTAGCACTTGGCTCCCTTCGTAATAGATGTTCGAACGAATCTCCCTCAAAGAAGTCCGTATGCGTACTAGGCAATCCAGTTTCTTCGTACTCTACGCTGCTCGGGACAGCTTGGGTCACATTCTCGTAGGAGAAACTCGCCGATGGAAGAGCTTCCGAGGTAGGAGCGTTCCCGTAGGGGTAATTCCCCGGTGGGGAAAATTGTTCCGAGGTGTAGGGCATGTTGTACTGGTCACTTTGCCCGGTAGTTTCAGGCTGCGCGAACGGAATAGCCTGGTTTCCTTCGGCATAGAAGCTTTGTTCTTGAGGATTAGCCATAATGTTGTTCGCATAGGCTTGCTCTTGACCCATATTAGTCCCCATATTCGGCACAAACATAGTTGGAACCATTGGAGCTGAGGTCTGATCATCTCCATTAATGTTTTGTGCTTGGTTGACTTGGGGCAGTGTACTTCCTTGCACGTAGGATTGGTTCACTGCAGGAGCGGTGTCTTGTTGAGCTTCTGATTGGTTGAGCGGTTGTTGTGTTGACGGCTGCCCGTATTGAGTAGACTGTTGTTGGTTCTGCATATCAGCGCCCAGTTGAGGCGCACTTTCCTTCCCCTAATAAAAGATAATTTTTTACCATGAGAACAACTTCAATGGATAGCTATTTCAGGCTCGTTCTATACTTAGAGAGACATCTTTGTTGTGTTAGTTTTTTTACAAGAGGAATCCTTAACTAAACCAATTTCTCTTAGACTGGATAGCCCCATCAGTTCTAAACTGTATTTCCCTACAAATCCAGAACAGATCACGCTTTTATTGAATCAGAACAGATCACCCTTTTATTGAATCACCATACATAAAAACACGCAATTTGTTACAGATATCAAGATATCAGGCTCGATCCCAGTTGTTGTGACAAGTCTGGAACAAGTTGTTATCACCTTGTTACAAGGTTGACGACGGTAACAGACTTGCAACGCGTGTATTCAAAGGGAAACTGTGGTGTTTGGCAGAATCAAACTGGCACCCTGACATCCCATCCGAAATAAACAGCAAAATATATGTTAATATACCTGTATTAATTCCAGTATTTGTTGTAACTTAACATTCATGTCGAAAAACGGAGTCATATGTTCCCGTTCTGTTAGACGTACTGATAGCTATAGTACAAGGAAAGAGATAGACAGTTTAGTTCGGTTTCATTTAGCACTATCGTCTGTTCCCTCAAATATTGTAAACCATATGTGGTGGTCTTGAATTTCGTGGAATATAATCAAAGTTAATATTACATATCTGTTCAGGGCTCGAATGATATAAGACCGCGTCTTACCGCATGAATTCGCGCGATTGTATTCTCCGTGAAGAATGTTTGATGTTTCAATATGTTGTTCAGCATCGTTTCGCAGTAACGGAATGCCTAAATACCAAGACAATATTTAACAAAAGATCAAACCGCTACACTTTGAAAAGCATCAGAACTAAACGATAGACCAACGTAACTTAACTAACTGTATTTATACTGGATAACTGTATCAGTTCCTAACTGCCTTTCCAAGGTCCAGTAATAACAATCACTAATTGTTCCAATGTAACTACAGGAGGAAACCTACACTAAACTAACTTTATTTATACTGGATAGCTCTATATATATATAAGTTCTAAACTGTTCTTCCGGTCCAGTAAGTGTCGTCCCTTAATTATTGTTCCGATGTTACTACAGGAGGAAACCTACACTATACTAATTTTATTTATACTATATAGATAGCTCTAACAGTTCTTCTTTGAGGTCCAGTAAGTGTCATCTCTTATTGATCCAGTGTTACTACAGGAGAAAACCTATAAACTATAGCTGTATTTATACCGAATAGCTTTATCGTTTCCTATAGAGGTAACACACGGTCCCAGAAATGGATCACAATGTTTGGACAGAAATTCTTTCAGGAATATCAACAAACCTTGACGTGTAGTCCTGCGTCGGCCAATGAATGAGCGTAAAATGCTTTCCAGGGCTGGCAAGAAAATTAACAAAGTTATAGATTTGCATGCACAACTCGATCTTTTATACCGAGAAAGCTTACACAAGGAAGAAAGTTCCACACCTGCAAATCTTTCATGATGTAATTCTCCTCTTTCAAGCTCATGGCATATTCAAATAACTAAAAGCAAAGATTGAAGTTGCAATTTTTCAACTTTCAAAACATCGAACACGGGAAACCGCTTCAAGAGTAAAATCACCTGTCATTAAACACGGATAAAATAACAAAATAGGGCTGGCGGCCCTACTTACCTCTGTACGTTGAAGAGCCAAAAGATCCACGAAATCTGGTCGCACTCCACTACAGAAAATAGATTTTAATGGACATTAAAGCTAGGCTCCAAACACCACCAGACATTGATAGTCTGACACTAACAACCACTCGGAGATCAAATCCCATCAACATCAGATTTTCAACTTACTTGAGAGAATAACCAAGTAAAACCGAGCCATCCTCTTTCCAGAAAGATTCTCCAGCTAATATGTAGCAAAGATGAGCAGCTTCAATCAAGCCGCGAGATTCTATAAGACAAAACAACTTCCAATATTTCTGAATCCATTGAAAAGTGAATTGCCAATCTTTTCTACCTACCTAGGTTTTCGCCCAATGTATGGATATTTCTTCTGTCCTGCTCCGGGGACTTGGAAGGATTTGCAATCATAATGGCCAGATGTTTTCGCCAGTGTCGCGACTTCTTCTAAAATCGAAAATTGGAAACATTAAGGAAGATGTTGTGGACATTTCGCTAAGGTAAAAACATAATTTTTTTCAACTCACGTCCAAAACTGATGGCGTTTTCTGGGAGAGATGTTGATACAAGCAGAGCAATGAGTCGTCTTCGTTGAGAGTGCCTGTGAATCTAAAATAAAGAATGACATAATTTTAAGCTTTATTTCGGAAAGGGAGAATTAAACCGGCAAAACTCGTACCCAGTCGTCCTGCAATAATTATTGTAATTTATAGTACACTGTTTTTACCTGTTCATTATATTTGCAAATATATTCTGATCGAGACTGTGCGACAAGATCAAAGCGTGTCCCCACATTTTCGATGCTATGGCCAGTTCTAGGGCCTCCTAAGAAAAAATAATAAAATGAATGCTTAAGTGAACGACACTATCTTTATAGCAAATTATACAACTTAATATTGGCTCTAGTCTAAATTGTTCTCTCCAGAGATCCAGTAAGGACCAGCACTCAAACCTAAGCTAAACAAACTTTATTTATATTAGATACCTCTCATGCAGACTCTCGCTTGCCATCTCTCACGCTTGGACTTTACACTGAAAAACAACGTCACTTACTTGAGTTTTTCCGCACAATAGTAGCTCTCTGTACGTCGCCTGCTGCTCTTGCTGGGAGGCAACTGTCGAAAAAACTTGATCCTCGCCGCTGAAAGAGACTCGACGGGAAGAATGGGGACTTTGTCCCAGTTCGGTCGTAGGCAGATCACTAGTAAGTACTTCGGCGATATCGCCATTCAGATATACCTGGAATAGAAGACGTTTAAGATTAGCTTCAACTCGTTAGAGGCAATGTTTTCAATGTCGGATATTTGCGATGAAAAGTGTTCAAAATCTAAAATCTTTTTGGCGTACCCCTCAAAATTACTTTGTTTTAGCTTTATTCTCTAGTTTACACAGTTAGCAACCTTTTTTTAAATGCATTTGCCAATTGAGAAACAAAAATAATAGTAAAAAATTGTCAATTTAAATACAACTATCATTAATGCAGTGAAATTGACGCCATATTTTTTCAGCGATTTATAAGCAAAACTTACTGAACTTCAAACATCATTTTCCCTTTGGCGTACCATCTAAAATCTCTTCATTTTACCATAATTTTAAAGCAACGTACTTTTTAAGTTTGTTTACCGCTTGAGTAACGTATCAAAAATTTAAAAAATTGAATATAGTCGTACCCAAGTGGAAAAGTGTATTCATTAATATTTTGAACGGGTGTTACGTCACATGCAAAAGATTCTCCTCCTAAGGGTTAGTTGTAGGGACTAATTGCAGCCCCACCTACACTTGGGCCAGGCCTCGCTGTTGTCTTACCCCGTTTTGCTGGACCATAAGAGCCAAGACTTGCCAAAGGATGTAGCTGGCCTCGCGTTCTTCAAAAGACTTGCTTTCATTGTTGAAAGCAGCCAAGGCTTGGTCCTTGGCGAATTTCACCACGTCCCTCTTGTGGGATTTAATTCTGCAAAGAGGTCCAGGAAAACGCTGCATTTGACTAGGCCTGGGATCACACTGTATAAAAAAAACAAGAGTCATATTGGATTGCTCTACCATTTCTAAACTGTTCTCCTATAGAGGTCCAGTAAGCTTTATCTTTAATGCATCAGTGTTACTACAGTACGAAACTTAAACTGAACTAACTTTATTTATAATGGATAGCTCTACCAGTTCTAAACTGTTCTCCCTAGAGGTCTAGTAAGAGTCATCTTAAATAGACCAATGTTACTACAGCAGGAAACGTAAACTAAACTAACTTTATTTATACTGGATAGCTCTACCAGTTCTAAACTGTTCTTCCTATAGAGCCATAGAGGTCCAGTAAGGATAATCTCTTATTGATCCAGTGTTACTACAGAAGGAAACCTAAACTAAACTAACTTTATTTATACTGGACAGCTCCACCAGTTCTAAACCCTCTACCAGTACTTATCTCTATCATTCTTGCTACTACAGGAAGAAAACCTAAACTTAGGTAACTTTGATTTTTTCTGTGTTGGTGTAATGTGCTCAGGTCTCAGGTGAATATGATGCTTGTGATGTTACTCCTGAGTGTATATCCACACCGGGTAAGCTTGAAAAATATGCTTGGCCACGGTGGGAATCGAACCTACGACCTTTGGAATACTAGCCCAATGCTCTGCCAACTGAGCTACGCGGTCAGGTCGGTTCGAGAATGTGATATTTTGGAACCGAGTCTATAGCTCTATTAGTTCTAAACTCTTCTCCCTAGACGTCCAGTATAACAGTCGCCCACTTATTGGTCCAGATTATTCAAAAAGAAGTCTGACAAAAATTCCAGAAGTGTGTAATTACCGTAACATCAGTTACGAAAACTTCAGCGGTTTCACCATCCAGGACACGTCTAGGCGGTGCCAAGCTCAGGCGAGAGACGGAGGCGAATTTACCCACGATATGTGGGACGCTGTGCTGTTTAGGCGTCAGTCGCTCTGGAGTTACAACTACAACAAAAGAAAAACATGAATGCAAATAAACTATATGAACCTTATAGTAAAAATGCAAAGAATGGTTGATGAAGAAGATATTGGCTGGTGATAAGAATGCTAGGCTAGACCAGTGACCTCTCTATATATATCTGGATCGAGAACTCAAGTCCATAAAGTGAAGCAAGATGGCGGAACTCGAAGAGCTATAAGCTATTGGACATCAGTTCCAGTCCCATCCTATTGTTTTTGTGTACGCGGTTAGCACGAAGTTGGCAAGGAGTGTGCTGAAATTTCGTATTTTGACATCGACTGAAAGAATAACACCATGGTTTTATGAAGAGATAACTTCAATACGGTCTGTTCGAAAAAACTGGAATTACCTGGGGAAAATGATACTAAAATCTTATTCCCTGATTATCACCACTATTTGGCCTGAAAGTTTGGTGAAGGTGGCGTTCAAAGTGGAAAAAGTTTTAAAATTAAGTTAAATTAAGTTAAACACATACCTCTTTCGACGGGATATTCAGTGGTAACCTGAGCACCCTGTTGTTGTTTCGGCTCATCATCCCACTTGATATTGTCACCAAGAGAGTTGGAGGTTGTTGAACTGTAACTTCCTGAGCTCAGTCTTCGCGAGTTGCGCGATGATTGATGACTGCGGTGGTAATAGTCCTCATCTTTACGATACCTGTGCAAGAAAGATCGAGATTATATGTAGACAACTACCGGATATGAGCTATTCTATAATCTGATTGGCTCTCTACTAGCAGGGTATTAGCTCGTATCCTGTTGGTAGAGAAAACAAGATGGTAGCTCAAAAATTACAGAAGTTTTCTAAACCAGGAAACAGCAAGTTATTCGCTTTTAATAGCATTAAGAGAAGAATAAAAAGTTAAAAACAGAATAAAAATACTCCCAGCAATTGTTTACAGGTTAGCAAATCAATTTTTAACATTTAAACTAGTTAAATATTTTTTTAAAATAATGCCGAAAGAACGAAAATAAAAACATAGACACATGATTTTTTGGAAGAAATTAAAGTGAGCTAAACATTTATAGATGTGAAATCAACAAGTACTTGTTTGAATACAACGCCTTAAATTCGAGTTTTGTGCAATGTTTGAAGTGTTAAAGAAAGAGCAGCCTTGGTTTAACAGATTCAGGTTTATTTGTTTTATACGTAACCACAAAGGTTTCAGAAGCTTACCCATCTTCGTACTCATACTCGCGATGTTTCGATTGGCGTCCGCCGCTGCGTCGAGCCCGCGAGCTGCTTCGGGAGGACACGGAACGAGGGGACTCGGCACGAGAAGAACGCCCAGAGCGGGTAACGCGCCGTTGACTATCGTCGCTGGATTCGCTCGAGACCGATTCTCCACGGTGGTACTCGCGGTCGTAGTAGTACCTGTCGTAATACGTCCCGTAATGCTCGTCATACTCGGACCGTCCTCGTCCGTGACGGCTGTCACGTCTTCGATCACGTCGCTTCCCGTGATCTTCGTCGTCGTATCGGCTCCGAGCAGATCCCGAGCGGTAATACCGTTCATCGTAGTATTGGTCCTGTTCGCGCTTGCTCCTGAAATGGAATAGTATTTTTTGATGAAGTGATTTTGTGAAAAATTATCGAGAATTATACAAGGTGTCGTTGTCGTAATGCCAGATAATTTACTTATTGTTTAGAAATGTGTTTTGCAAGTCAAGATCGTCTTAAGCCGGCTACAGACCAGCAAGTTTTCTATGACAAGTTTTTATGTGACACGTTTTATTTGCTCGTCTGTACGCGCAACTTTGACAATTTTTTCTATGACAAGTGCACTTGTTCAAAAGCTATAGCATGCTAGCTTTTGAACAAGTGCACTTGTCATAGAAAAAATTGTCAAAGTACAAATCTTGTTCGTCTGTATGGGTCAACAAAGACTACTAATAAATTGTCAACTAAGTAAACTTGTTGACACGTTCACACCAGTAAATAAACTTGTCATATAAAAACTTGTCATATGAAAATTTGTTGCATATACACACGTGCACTTGGCAAATAAAACTTGTCACATAAAAACTTGTCATATAAAAACTTGTCATATAAAATTTGTTGCATATATACACATGTGCACTTGGCAAATAAAACTTGTCACATAAAAACTTGTCATAGAAAACTTGCTCGTCTGTAACCGGCTTTATGCCGAGATTGACGTTTATCACAATGTTGCAGCACTATACGTTCTCTGAAATCTACATGTGGAGGTTTTATATTTGACTTTCATAGGAAATTTTTCTTTTTGAATTTTGCTGCCAGAAAGCATATACTTGCCATGAACTTTAACTTCAATTTTCTCATCAAGTATCATACATTTTAAATTGTTGAAGAATACGAATGTTCTCATAAAGACGTTTCACAAGCCATTTATTTCGGCTCGAGTTTGTATATGTCCGATACAACACAGCCGTTCATGTTGTCAATAGTACTTGCAAGTCCCCGGGTAACGTGGTCTCAAAAAACCCAGGTGTAATTTCTACCAAACACAAGTCGATGATAATCTCCGCCATGCAAAACCTATAAGGAACATAAAAACTTACTTATCAGCACGAATCCATTTGTTCCTTTTGTGAGACCAAAACCATTTGCGGCTTTCGTCATAATATCGATTGCATTCTTCCTCAGAATCAAAATCTTCATATTGCTGCTGTTCAGTATCAGCTGGAGTCTGGTACTGAGTTGAGGCATAATGCTGGTTACCATTGCTGTTCACTTGCTGTTGGTATTCCCCACTAGTTTGCCTGGAGTGACAGAATTCGAAATTAGTTACTTCTATGACAATCTAGGCAGACAGATATAATATCCGACACAGTTATTTAGTATTTATTTAAAAACAATCATGGTTTCTGATCGGCTGACAGCCAACTGTGAAATTGTCATATCGAGTGACCAAATATGGCGTTTTGACATACGTGTGAATGACTTAATTTTAATTTTTAGTTTAAAATGGAAAAATAAGTAACCTCCACTATGCATAGAGCAACTCCCCCCATAATTTCTGAAAGTCTTTGAATGATGGCTTAATAACTTCGAAACAAAGTTGTAACAATAATTTTTCAACCATCAAAGTACAGGTAGACTAAAAACTAAGCTATATGTTACATGAAATTTAAGGGCAAAAAAAGTTTAAAGAACTAAGATTTCAAGCTATGAAGGGTGGTGATATGTTGGTAACTTAATTCACTCCCCAATATTTACCGAAGTATCCCTCACTGGTAACTTTTAGTAGTTCGAATTCTGACATACCTCTGTAGTTGCTGATGTTGTTGTTGCTGTTGTTGTTGCTGTTGTTGTTGCTGTTGTTGTTGCTGTTGTTGTTGCTGTTGTTGTTGCTGTTGTTGTTGCTCATACAACTGCTGTTGTAGTTGCCGTTGCTGTAACAACTGTTGTTGTTGGTGCATATACTGATCGTGTTCCGACTTCTGTTGGTGTCCCATGTGATGTTGACCAAGCTGTTGTTGCTGTTGCTGCAACAGTTGCTGTTGATGCAAGTACAGCTGCTGTTGGTACTGCAACTGTTGTTGTTGCTGCTGCTGGTATTGCAACTGCTGTTGCTGTTGTAGATCACTAGCGGGACCAGGATGAGCCACCATCCCTTCACTCTGGTCAGAACCCTGACCACCATACCCACGTTGAGTCACCACTTTCTGGTCAGTACCATGTTGAGTCACGATGACCTCACTCTGGCCAGAACCATGACCACCACTGGTACCAGCAGGATGGTCAACATGACCATCGAAGCCACCATACCCAGGGACCACTCGCCCACCACGTCCTTCCTGTACCCGAGCTTGCTCGTTCTGCGGCAACCCGGTATGCGCTGCAGAACGGCTGGCGTCAGGATACATGGAGGTGTGCTGGGGGAGCCCGGTTTCGGTCCCTGTAGCAGGGGCAGACTGCTGATGGCGGTGGTCACTTGCCCGACCTGAGGAAGGTCTGTCGTAGACTGATGGCGCTTGGTTGGTATTTGGCCTGGGAAAGAAAATACAAGGTGTTAGAATGATATTGACCGACAGTAATTATTAAATGCCCGAGTAAAGTTTCAAGAATGTTTGAAATAGTCATCCAGTGTTAAATTGTAGTTGACAAGGCTATATGTATTTTATGTACTATTTTAAACACGAGTAGGAGTGTTTTATCAGATATAAAACGCGAGGCGCAGCCGAGCGTTTTTTATCTGATAAAACACGACAACGAGTGTTTTGAATAGCTTAAAATACGACTACAAAAGAATACTAATTAGGATGAACCATTATATAATCATGTTAATTAGGATGAACAATTATATAATGCCACATGTGTTTTATCAGATATAAAGTCACTCCACGTGACATATTATGGCTGACATGATTTGCCACAAAGTTTATGAATTATTAATGAGTATTTTAAATCTTATTAAAAGGATAAATTCACTAGTGGTTTATGTGATAAAAAATAATGTCAATTTACATAAACTTTAGCTTTGATAGTCTCGGCTTAGACAAGATTTGATTTTTTTTTAAATTTTATTTTATTTTATTTTTAAAATTACTTCGCCAATAAACTCATGACATGGGTTGTTTTTTAAGCCATTTTAAACACTCGCAGTTCGTGCTTTATATCTGATATAAGATACTCGACTGTCGCCCCGTGTTTTTATTTTGATAAAGCACTAGCTCCTGCTCGTGTTTTAAATAGTACTACATGCTGTTTGTCTATACAATATTTAATATGTTAGCACAACCGTTTAATATTTACGTATCATTAACATTTATTGCGTTTAATCTTGTAACTGTTTACTATTTTACTTCAGTATTTCGAAGGGCAATTTGCTCAATGTTATCAGTTGATACTGCGAGTCAAAAATTTTATTATAAGCGCGCGCAATCGACAATTTATTTTCTCACAATTTTCTACAAAACTTAGAAAAGTAAAAGTTCCGTCAATGCTCTTTTTTTTAAGGAGAGCTCCATTTTGATTAAACAAATAGAAAAGAAAACAATACATAAATAAACAAGTAAACAATGACGATAGTGAAAGGAAGTGAAACAGGGAACGTCTACAAAATCTAAACATTTAAACCGATTTTTGGTATGTGTAATATTTGGTTCATTCTAAGAAGAAATTTAATATATCTTTATGGGAAAAACCTCATCTTGATCAACTTTTTCAGTGTCAGGGTCAATACTGTTTTGTAAATGCAGACTTACACCAGTGTATCATTAGGAAGGTAGGAAACTCTTTTCGCCCATATCCACATACATGTTCAACCAAAATTTTATGTAAAAACAACACGAAAACGTCAAAAAACTTATGATTGAGAAAACTTTGATCCTCGAACAACATCATTGTGAAAACAATGTTTTTAAAAACAAATACAAAAGTCGAAAAAATGTGCAAAACTTTTGCTAATTTGCCCAGAAATGATGTGGGACGATGCTGGATGGACGCTGTGTACGGTTCCTTACAGCGAATCGAAAAAGTAAACAAATTTGCGTATGCTTTTAATAATCCGAGCGAGGAAGTTAAACATGAAATGACCAAAACAAAAAGCACAAAAAGTTTAAAAATCAAAATATAGAAATTTGAAATTTTTTTATAATGTCAACGAGATTGTTAGTTTCATAAAATAAATTTCTATCATTTGATGAATTTTTGGAGCGAAAAACAAACACAACAAAAAACTACTTTGCAATCCATCCAATGACATATCTGGACACTTTGACAGTTTCAAGGTAATGAAGACGAGATCTTGTATTATAAAGACATGTTACATTTCTTCTCAGAATGACCCAATTACTGCACGTACAAAAAAAGTCATGTTTGGGGTTAGTCGCGCTTTGAAATTATACAGATCTGATAAAGAACAATACAGAAATCTAGATTATATTGTTCTACGCTATCAGCTTTCTATCACTGCCTTCATTTATAATTTTATTAGTACCGTAATTATTGTGTTAGATTAGTACCGTAATTATTGTGTTAGTGTTTTAGTTATAATGATTATGAATAACTGTACAATTGCATTAGTATATTATTGTGACAGTTTGTTATGGTTAGTTCAAGTAAAAATTATTTCAGCAATGAATAGCATGTAACATGAGTCATATCACTAAATAATCTATAAAGGGACTAAAAACGGGCCCAAACTGGAAATCGAGTTTAAAACAGCCAAACACCTAGCTACTTACCCTTGGTTTTTCTCACGGTTGAGACCAGATAATTTATCACCAACGCCATGAGCAGCCTTGCCAGTAACTTGATCTTGAGTAGAAATACCAAGCAAACTTTGGCGACTTAGACTCGAGGTAGAACCATGAGCAGATGCTTCACCTTCGGGTGAAGTTGTCGAATGTAGTCGTTGGTTAGATGTTATGGCTCGGTAAGCTCCAGGCTGAGCAGGTGGAATTTGATGACCAGTACTGGTGAGTTGGTTAGATGAGTTTGGAGGAGTAGCGGTGAACGGGTATATGGTCTGTGTGAAACCAGGAATACCCGAGATCGGTTTTACCACATTAGATGTTACAATCCGAGACTTTTCACCAGTCTGCTCGATCGGAGGAACATTTGAACCTTGTGCTGGTACAGTAGCTTGTAGTTGTAACTTGGAAGCACTCTGACCAATCTCGTGGTTACCTCTGGTTGCCGTTGGTACAATAAGGCCCAGAATTGCCAATTGGGGTTCACTATCCCAAAGCGAAGATGTCTGGATGCTTGGTCCATGCAGTAGCGTTTCTTTCTTCTCCCGCTCTACTGGAGATCGAAGTGGTGACTCTAGGTTTGCTCTTTCTTCGTAATGCCGTGGCGAGTTCGCCTTCACTGGAATGAATGCCGATGGATGTAGATTAGCATCAGTTTCCAGAGGACTACCTTGTAATTCACCCTGGTTTTCAAGGATCACATTACTGGGTGGCAATGATGTACTACTATAAGGTACAACGCCGACAGACGAAAACATGGTGGCTGCAGTACCTTCATGTTGGTTACCAAACGGCAAAACGTGCTGGTTCTTTGATGATAGTTTGTCATCAAGAGGTCTAGCATCACGAGGAGACGTGGTGTTCGTGTCCAGATGGTATGTAGTTGGTTCAACACTACTTGAACGGGAAAGGTTCTCACCTTGGGCGCCAATTGGTGGAGCTTGCGATGGTGGTAAAGTACCATCATGTGCTACCATGGTACTAGTATCCAGATGAGGTGTACCAGTTTCAGCGTGAACTGCCTTGGTGGGTCCTGGCATAACAATTGGCTCGGCAACAGTTTGGGATGGTGAGACCTGCTGATTGATCGATGGTAGAGTACCACCATGTGTCATCATGGCGTCCAAATGAGGTATGCCAGGTTCAGCATAAACTGCCTCGCCTAAACTCACAACTGGTTCAGGAACATGTTGCAATGGTGTAGGTTGTTGGTAGTTCGATGGAATACCACCATCAAGAGGAGCTATGCCGCTTGGGTTGAGAAGAGTTGTTGACTTTTCACTCACGACTGGCTCTGCAACAGGTGGGAATGGCGACATTTGCTGGCTCAATGGCTCATGGGCAGACTGTGCTTCGTAATCAATACGCTGACCATAGGCTGACACAGGCTCAGATCGAGAAGGTGTATTGCTCGCAATCTGGTTATCTTCCAAGTTCTTCATAAGAAGTCCAGAGTCGGTCGCGTTTGGGGGTCCTTGCAATGAGGAATACACCAACCTATTCTGATCGCTTTCTGGGTCACTTGTAAAATGCCTAGAGCCAGGAACTTCAGGACTAACAGCCATTCGCTCAGACTGTAATGATGTAGCGATGGAATTCTGTGCCCCAGAATGGTTATCAACAAAGTCCTTCGTTGTAGGTTGTACTCCAGGGCTTGCAACTATAAGCGCAGCTTGTGAAGACGAAGCAAGTTCACTCTCTGCTGAATTGTCACCACCTACAAACCCAGGGTTCATAGGTGGTAGAAGGTTAGGGTCAGGGGTAAACAGTTCCCCTGTACCATGGTGGCTGGTGGTCACCACTTGTGAAGATGGATAAAGATCCTTCTTGATATTGGAAGGAAAAATTGGACTTGACTCTCCAAGATCCATCCCCGGCGGGTAAAGGGATTTCGTCTGACTGACTGGTTGGCTTGATATTAAGCCAGGTGGATACAAGCTAGATGTCATATTCTGGAGCTTGGGATCCTGGAACCCGTTTACCATTGTGGGCGGGTAAAGGCCCGACGTTGGAGGTTGGAATGTGGCATGAGCCACATCTGAATTGCCGACTGGTTCAACAGTTTCAAAAGCTGCTGGTTGTTGAGCAGCAGGTGGATCGGTCGTCTTGACGACGTCCAGGCCAGCAGGTACGTCAGCTGGCAAGGTTTCACCAGTAGGCTGGTTGGTGGCATTAACAACATCTTGTGTAGAAGTTGATGAATAACTACCAGTATTGTGTGGATAAGACGCGGCAGCGTCTCCAAACGGATAGTCGTTGCCATAGTTGCCATGTACACTCTGATCATGTACATTGGCTTGTACGTGGCCGTGTCCATTATTAAATTGGGGACCAGACTGTCCAATCTGGTCCAACGGCCATGTCTGTCCATTGGTCGTCCCACTGAATGCTTCTAACTGTTCAACAGAATGCTGTTTCTGTATATGACTGTTAGATGAGAATGCAGGAATTCCATATCCTGGATCTGTAGTGGGAGGCATACCAAAATTCTGGGTGCCGCCAACGTTAAAGCTGTCAAAGAGGTCATTATGCTGGCGATCAGCGAAAAGCTGAGCGGTTCCGCCAGCGTTGGATGGGGTCATCTTCATTGCGTCAAACGGGTCGATAGCAGTCTGAGGAGGAAAAGACTGGTCGCCAGATTGAAATGGCTGGAACAGTGTAGCTGTTGTATTCAACGTTTGTGGTGGAAATGATGATTGGTGTCCCTCATAATTTTGGAGTTGTTCCGCAGATTGAAATGATGTTGGTGTGTTCAAGACTTGCGGTAGAACTTGGTTGGACGTTGGACGGTATTCCTCGATATTTTCGAGGTGTTCAGCACCAGTGCCTGAATTCGGCAGCTGAAGAAGACTGTTGTTCATACCAGTCTGTGTATGTGCTGATGTGTTCAAAGCTTGTAATGAAGCTTGATTAGTTGGATTTGTTGTCATCGGCGCTTGTGTCGGAGCCTGCACGGGTGTTGGGTTCTCCTCGTGATTTCCGACTTGTTCAGGCCGAGATTTTGACGCCACGAAACTGTGGGCGTCTGTGGGCTGAAATAGTTTAGCTACGGTGCTCGAAGCTTGTGCTGAGGCTTGGAAGGGTGGTGGCTTCGCCTCGAAGTTTTGTTCAAAAAACTGTGCTGGGCTATTGGACGCATGCGACGTCTGGCACGGTGTTGTGTGGTTTCCACGACTTTGGGGTGGCCGAGTGTTAGAATCCACTAACCCAAAACTGTCAAAAAACTCGTGGGAAGAGCCTGGGAACCCGGTGGAAAATTGATTGTTCCACATGTTATCGTCAAAGCTTGTTGTTGATGGCTTGTCTCCAAGACTGACACGATCAAATTCGGTTTCGGATGGCGATGGTTCGTTGCCAACACCACTTATTAAAGGCTCCTCGGGTGGAGATGAGGACGACGACGGTGTTGGTAATAATGTAACCAACGGTTGATCCAACGTTGGACCGCTTAGCGAATCAAGAGTAAGAGCTTTCTGAGAATCGAATGGCGATGTTTTGCTAACACTGATTAGAGGTTGAGATGTTGTTTCAATTAGTGCTGGCGATGGTGTAGCCTTGCTACTCTGAGACACAACACTCGAAGGAGCTTTTTCAGATTCGGATGGCGATGTTTGGCTATCGAAAAGACTGATTAAATACTCCTCAGGTTGAGATAATGTTATTTCTTCTAGTATTGACGATGACGTAGGCAATGTCCCGGAACTCTCTGTTGGTCCACTTAAAGGAACAAAACTGAGAAGAGCTTTTTCAGATTCGGATGGCGATGTTAGACTGTTGATAGCCCTGATTAAAGGTTCCTCAGGTTGAGATAATGTTGTTTCTGTTAGTATTGGCGATGACGTAGCCAATGGATCGCACTTCCGGGAGACACTACTCGACGTATCAAGACTGAATAAATCAAACTCCGATTCGGATGGCGATGTTAGGCTGTTTCCTGCACTGATTAAAGGCTCCTCAGGTTGAGCTTTTTCAGATTCGGATGGCGATGTTTGACTACTGGTAACACTGATTAAAGGTTCCTCGGGTTGAGATGATGATACTGTATCCAATGGTTCGGAACTCCCCAACACACCAGTGACAGGAACAAGGCTAATAAAAGCTTTTTCAGATTCGGATGGCGATGTCTGGCTGTTTATTGCACTAATTAAAGGCTCCTCAGGTTGAGCTTTTTCAGATTCGGATGGCGATGTTTCGCTGTTTGTTATACTGATTAAAGGCTCCTCAGGCTGAGATGATGATACTGTATCCAATGGTTCGAAGCTCTGGGCTACACCAGTAGTCAACGGAACAAGGCTAATAAAAGCCTTTTCAGATTCGGATGGCGATGTTTGACTATTGATGACACTGATTAAAGGCTCTTCAGGTTGAGATGATGATACTGTATCCAATGGTTCGAAGCTCTGGGCTACACCAGTAGTCAACGGAACAAGGCTAATAAAAGCCTTTTCAGATTCGGATGGCGATGTTTGACTATTGATGACACTGATTAAAGGCTCTTCAGGTTGAGATGATGATACTGTATCCAATGGTTCGAAGCTCTGGGCTACACCAGTAGTCAACGGAACAAGGCTAATAAAAGCCTTTTCAGATTCGGATGGCGATGTTTGACTATTGATGACACTGATTAAAGGCTCTTCAGGTTGAGATGATGATACTGTATCCAATGGTTCGAAGCTCTGGGCTACACCAGTAGTCAACGGAACAAGGCTAATAAAAGCCTTTTCAGATTCGGATGGCGATGTTTGACTATTGATGACACTGATTAAAGGCTCTTCAGGTTGAGATGATGATACTGTATCCAATGGTTCGAAGCTCTGGGCTACACCAGTAGTCAACGGAACAAGGCTAATAAAAGCCTTTTCAGATTCGGATGGCGATGTTTGACTATTGATGACACTGATTAAAGGCTCTTCAGGTTGAGATGATGATACTGTATCCAATGGTTCGAAGCTCTGGGCTACACCAGTAGTCAACGGAACAAGGCTAATAAAAGCCTTTTCAGATTCGGA